GGCTAGAGTGAGTGCCGGGCGTCAGCCTAGCTCACAGCAACCTCAAACTCCTGGCTCAAGCGATCCTCCTGCCTCAGCCTCCCGAGTAGCTGGGACTACAGGCATGCGCCACCATGCCGGCTAATTTTTTCTATATATATTAGTTGGCCAATTAATTTCTTTCTATTTATAGTAGAGACGGGGTCTCTGCTCTTGCTCAGGCTGGTTTCGAACTCCTGACCTCAAGCAATCCGCCGCCTCGCTCCCAGAGTGCTAGGATTACAGGCGTGAGCCACCTCGCCCGGCCAGAGTGACATTTCTAAACTGCAGACCTGGTTGTCACTTCCCTGATGTAAAGCCCTTCAGGGCCCCTGACTGTCCTCAGGGTAGAGCCTGCTTCTTAGCCTTGTGTCCAAGGCCCCCACATGGCCAGCCAGCTCCTGCCAACCTCCCCACTGCCCTTCTCCCCTCTCCCCTCACCCACGGCACGTCCCCAAGCTCACTGGGCTCTCTCTTGCCCTTCGGTGGCACCGAGGATGAGGGCTATTTTGGTGCGCCCCAATGTTGCTATCAACAAGCAAAGCCCCCACCCTTGGACTGCTGCCCTGAAGCCCTTTCTTTTTGACAGCAGAGCTGAGAGGCCATCAAACTGCCTCCCCATTTTACAGAGTGAAAACTGAGGCCCAGAGAAGGCAGCGGTGCGTTCCTGACAGAGCACAGAACCTCCCCTCCCCACCAATAATTTTGCAATGAAAAATTTCAAACCTGCAGAAACATTCCAAGAACAGCATAATGAATACCCGTGTTTATCTACCAACTGCTAACACGAGGCTACATTTGCTTTCTCTTTCTTTGTCGTCCCAGATACTTGTTAGTTTCAGAAACTGTGACACTTCACCCACATTACTCCAGCACGCCTTCCTTTTCCATGCCTAAGAAATTTAACATCGGATCAATATTATCTAATACACAGTCCGTAATTCAACTTTCCCTCATTGTCAAACTAACTACAATAGTGTTCATCACAGGTTGCTTCTTTTTATCCAAGAATTAACGAAAAGTCACTCAGTGCAGTTAATTGTTCCATCTCCTTTGTCTGCTTCATTCTATTATGCAACAGTTCTCAGCCTTTTGCTTGGTTTCGGTATTTTGCTTTTGTCTTTCAGGACAGGGACTCTTTCAGAGCACCGGGCCAGCTGGTCTGCAGAAAGTCCCTCAATTTGGATGTGTCTGCTTGTGTCCCGTGGATTAGATTGAGGTCAAACCGTGTGGGCAGGACACTGCAGAGATGACGGTGAGCCCTTCTCAGTGCCATGGCACCAGGAAGCACATGAGCTCAGCTTGTCCCCTTACTGGGAACGTTCAGTTTTATCATTTGGTTAACTTGGTGTCTTCAGATTTCTGCACACCTTGTTGCCTAAAAGTCTCCCAGCTTATGCTGTCAGCATCCTCTGAGATGGTTCTTTCATGCATCAGTGATTACCGAGGTAGTTGTCAAATGGTGACTTTTACTTTGCAATTACTTCGATATGTATTAGTTGGTGGTCTTCTTTTATTTATCTATTTATTTTTTGAGACAGGGTCTCGCTTTGTTTTACTTTGCAATTACTTCAATATGTATTAGTTGGTGGTCTTCTTTTATTTTTTTATCTTTTTTTATTTTATTTATTTTTTGAGACAGAGTCTTGCTTTGTCGCCCAGGCTAGAGTGAGTGCCGTGGCGTCAGCCTAGCTCACAGCAACCTCAAACTCCTGGGCTCAAGCAATCCTCCTGCCTCAGCCTCCCGAGTAGCTGGGACTACAGGCATGCGCCACCATGCCCGGCTCATTTTTTTTTTCTATATATTTTTAGTTGGCCAATTAATTTCTTTCTATTTATAGTAGAGATGGGGTTTTGCTCAGGCTGGTTTCGAACTCTGGAGCAATCCACCCGCCTTGGCCTCCCAGAGCGCTAGGATTATAGGCGTGAGCCACCGCGCCTGGCCAGTGGTCTTCTTTTATAAAGACTGGTTCTTTCTTCTCTTTTAAAACATTTCTAAAGCTAGGTGCGGTGGCTCACACCTGCTCCCAGCTACTCGGGAGGCTGAGGAGGGAGGGTCGCCTGAGCCCAGGAATTAGAGGCAACAGTGAGCTGTGGTCTCACCACTGCACTCTAGCCCAGGTGACTCTGTCTCAAACAACAACAAAAAAACCCAGAGTTTTTCTTCCTTCTTTCCAAATCTCTCCCTCATGCTATAGCGAGAACCTGGGTCTTGGCAACACCCATCCTAGGGGGGCTGCTTCAGAACCACTCTCCCTCCATACTGCCAATAACAGCCCCGCTGGCGAGGTACAGGTGTCTTTGTCCTTGGGGTATCCTCCACCAAGGGGGCACGGCCAGAAAGCCAAGCTCCCCAGCTACTCAGGTGCACTCTTTTTCTGTTCTTTTTCTGCAGGTGGAGCTATGTCATCAGTGTCATACACAGATTCATTAGTTTCTGTTGGTTTTCAATTTCGGCCTTCCCCCATCCTTGTTAACTTACTTTTATTTCTTCAATGTAAAATGTATTTAAGGTGCACTGGGAGGTGTGCATAGATTGCTGAGGCTGGAAGGAACCCTCTAGTCCAGGTGACAAGCTCCATTCCTATTTTCAAACGCCCCCTCAGGAGGCAGGCGCTGAAACCCTGTTCCATCCCTTTCGAAGCAGCGCTGGGCCGGGCAGCAGGACTCCTGGGTTCCACCAGCCTCGGCGTTTCCAGGGAGCCCACATGCGACCTGGTGAGTCCCTGCCCTGCCCAGCCACCCTGGGCCTTGGCCTTGCACCCGTGAACCGAGAAAGGGTCACACCGGAGGTCTTCCAACAGCTCCCAGGCCCAGGACTTCATTTTCCCACGATGGCACCCCCGTTTCGTTTCACAAGAGCCCAGTGAGTGTCTAGCACATAGTAGGGGCTCCACAAATAGTAGTAGCAACTGGTGTCCCCATTTTACAGTTTGGAAACTGAGGCTCTACATAGTAGGGGCTCCACAAATAGTAGTAGGAACTGAATAGTAGTAGGACCCATTTTACAGTTTGGAAACTGAGGCTCCAAGAGAGAGGGTGGCTTGCCCCCAAGATCTCATTAGGTGGGAGACGCCGTGAAAGCGCCATGCCGGCCTCAGCACACAGTAGGCTCTTTGGAGAGGGCTTGAGAAGGTCCCCGCAAAGTCGGATTTGCGCCCGGGCACCGTGCGAGTCAGGGGAGCCCGGGGCGGGGCCGTATGCAAATAGCCGGGGAGGAGGCCGCGGATTGGCCGAGTTCCACCAGGGACGTAGAGGTAGATTTCATAGGGGCCAGTGAGGGGCTCTGAGCTGTCAAACATGCAGAGAGGCTTTTCCAAGGCCACGGTGGTGAGTGTGGGGTTGTTGGTGGCGAAGGTCACGCTGGCCAGTTGGGGCTGGAGTCCACGCTGGGAGGCAAGGAGGGGACA